TATATATATATTTATTGATAAAAAAGATTATAAGCATTGGAAAAAAGCAGAGTATAGAGTCCGAAATTTCGGTTTCGGTTTTGGTCAGTTCAGGTTGACAACGCGCCGATGAGCGTTTAAAAAACAAATGTTCGTTTTTTAATTATTAACTCATTGATTAAGACAATTTGAGTACAAACTTTGATATAATCTTGATAATAATAACTATGATTTCTTTAAAAATTGAAAATGCAATATTATTATAGTTGAATATTTTAATAAAATCTTGTTTTTTAAAGAATATGAATTTGTCATAATTTCTGAAAAAATCATACGATCTCTGTAAAATTAATCCAAAAATATTCGGTTTTGATTTCAGCCGAAATTGAATGACAACTGAATATTCGTTTTCGATTTCGGCCGGAAATCAAAATATGATTTCGGACTCTAAAATATGCTGAAAAGGCATTTAAAGATTAATATTAATTTTTTCATAAATTATAAAATGTAGAAATACGCAATTGTAAATGTAAAAAACTTTTAAATTTTTTACCGCGTGATTGCACACAAAGGTTTCAGTGGTGGCCTTTGTTGTGTCGATTTCTTAAATATATCTGAATATGATTGTTCATTTTCAAAAGTAATAAACGTTCGTTCATAAAATGTCCCAGTTTCTTCGCCATGTATCTTTTTAGTAGAAGCAGAGGGAGCAATATCTATAGATTTCTCTTTTCCATCTATTTTTGATTCTATTTCACTGAAATTTATTAAATGGAATTATAATATATTAAATTCAGTTTATTTTGAAAATTTATTTCGGACTTATCTCTTATTTATACCTTTCCATATCTTATCAGAAAAAATTAAATAAATGAAATATACCTCTTCTCTTTTTGAGAGCTATCAAAACCTGTATTATTAGAATTCCCTTTTTTCTCATCGTCACATTCAACATTAATTTTTTCTTCTTCATTTATTTGAGATAATACCATGACTGGCATAGACAATGATTGATATCTAATCATTGGTCCAACATGAGTTTTTCTCACAGTCCTTGTAGTTTTTTTTTCATTTTCCAGTTTCTGATATTTTTCTGCAAGTATAGAACAAGTATAGCTCTTTCTTAAAGATACATTCTTATTTAATCTTATTTTTTATTTTATTTATATTTTCTTCAAGAGAAAGTATCCAAATAAAGAATATTGTTAAATAAAGAATATTGTATTTTGTTTTACACATACCTAAGGATTTCAAATTAAGCTCCTCTGTTTGTAATGCTTCTTCCAATAATTCCTCCTGAGTAGGTTTCCATATATCATGTTTTACAACTTTCACTTTTCGTCTCTGATCTTCGTTTCTTTCACGCAAACGTTTCTGTGTAGCTGCTGACTTTGCAGCAGTAGAGCGGCGAATTGATTTCCTTTCTACATAACATGATAAAATAGATATATTGAAAAGAAAACATTTAATATATTAATATACTATATAAAACATTTAATATATTAATATTAATATATTAATATATTAATATATTAATATGCTAAATATTTATGTTACCTATACTATCTACATAAATCTTTTCTTGTTTTGGTTGTTTTATTTTTTTTTCCTTGGGCACTGAATATGTATGCAATGTGGCAGGTTTAGGCTCCTTATATGCTTTTGTTACTAATCTGCGTTTCTTTTTCGGTCCTTCTTGTTCAGTATCGGAAACTGGCTCATCATTTTCATCAATGCTAAAGTCCGAATCCACTTCATCCTCAGCTTCATCTTCTTCCCTAAAATTCAACCGTTCATATATTTTATTATGAGTTTTTGTTATATCAATGTAATAAGAATAAATGTAATAAAATTAATAAATTATAAAAATCACAAACAAGTAATCGTGATCCTGTTCCACTTCGTCAAAGCCACCATATGTAGTTTTGTAAAAATCATCTTCCTCTTCTTCGTTTAGCAATCTTGCCATTTTATTGCCAGCGTTTGCACGCTTTTCCCTTGTTGCAGCCATTGTTAGAAACTTTCTGCCCAACTTTCAATACAACTAATACGTATACGTTATGTAATTATGTCTTGCACCTTAAAGCTTTGGAAAGGACAAAATGCAAAAATGTTACACATTATTTTAATAATTGTTGATAAATCATTGTATTGTAAATAAGATTAGATATACTTAGATCAGAACCTTCAATCTTACAATATTCAATCCTATTTCAGTTTTTCTTTCCTCAGTTTACATTTAATAAGGATTTTTATTATTTTATCACTCGTTAAAAAGTTCACAAATGCTTTGTTCATAAATTTTGTTGTTCACGAATGCATGCAGGTATTAGCTGCTTACAAATACAATCACACCTCGACAGCCTCAGTATTTCTATAAATTATGACAAAGAGAAATCTGAAAAAGGTTATGC